TGTGCCAACAAGTCCAGGAGCATAACGGCTTAATCGGATGAACTCAACCTCGTAGTCCATAACAGACATATTACCCTACTCCAGATCCTGAAACTCCTGACGTCGCTCCTGCAAGTATCTCTCTCCGATGTAGCGACTCCGGAAACGAGTCTTAAAAAGATCCCATATTAACTGGTTTCTCGGAATACTACCAGAAATTGATTGCCACCATCTAAAGCTCTCTTTCTTCAACATAGTTAGGGCCCCCTTCAACTTCTACTCAGGTCCGAGGTCCATCTCATCCATAATCCTCTCTGTGTCCTCGAGCCAATACTCAGCGTCTGTCGGGGGTCCACCAGTAATACCCTCAAATAGAACTACACCAGCAACAACCAGAGAATTTGAAATCTCCACTGCAGTCATGTTACTAGGAGCTCTAGCAGCTCTCTGAAACATGCGGAAGATAGCTCTATTAATGGCGTCTTCATTCATCTTAGTATCCTCATCTTCAGTGATAGGAGGGTCTCTCACAGAAGTAAACTGATCATCATGAGAAAGAGTCGAATCTACTTGCGGAACAGGAGGATCACATGGTGACATCGGATCATTGATCGTAACAGAAGGTCAAGCAACTCGCCCTCGACCACGTACACGTCCTGTCCTACGACCTCTAGCAGCATTCATCGTTGGATCTATAAGGCTCTAAAGAAAAAATTTGAAACATATATCAGATTAGCATCAGGGATCTCGAGAAAATTTTAAATCATAAAATAAGGTGACATTTTTTTTCAAAATTTCTTAAAAATCCAAAGTTTAGGACCCATATACGGTCCGAATGTTTAAAACTGAAAGCTCTGATACCACCAAATATAGCCTCCCAGACCCGGTCTGTAAGTTAGACCCAAACCTAAATGGTCACATATCCCATTCAGAGTTTTTTTATATCTTACAATACATTATATTAATACAAACCAAAATATTAATAATACATATATATCCAAAACGATAGCAAATACATGACACCAGATACAACGTAAAACATGTAGAGATATATGTTCGTACAAAATAAGTAGTTGATCTCTCCTGATGCCAAATCTGCTAGCTTACGATCTGCTGTTATTTGAAAAAGGTAAAAACTACAAAATGAGCTAAAAAGCTCAGTGTGCTCCATACAGTGTATAAAAACATATTAACAAAATATTTTAATAAAATTTGTTTATGTAATATGTTTTGAAAACATGAACACTACCCCCATCCTTTCACAATCTGTTTGTGTAGGTTCCCCAGAACCATACACCCCGCACAACCAATAAGGCCCTGAGCACACAGCCGAGGAGCCTGCAGATAATCTTCCTCCAATAATTTTCCCCCAAATGATAATAATGAACATGAATGTATGCGCGTAAAACAATGAATAATTCTTTAAAAACATAAGAATGTTTCAAGCTTGAAAACCATAAACAGAAATAGAGAAATCAAATCAGTAATGTATGGTAATTCAGATGTTGGGTAATCAATATTCAAAAAACGATATAAAATACCGTAACCAGAAATCATATCAGAAATATATAGTAAATCAGAAATCAGATACACAATATTCAGATATTTATATACTTTAAAACAATAATATAACACTATCAGGAAACACACCTGTAACAGTCTGAGAAATCAGATAGGGAAGCCTATCACTTGGTTTGTCGATCACGCTCTGCTGCAGCGCTAGATCCTACGAATTGGAAAAATTCATATTGGAATCCTAATATAAATAATCTTTATTTAAATAATATACGAAAACCTACAGGTAATTATTGTAGTACGCGATTCAAGCTGATCTGATGAACGAACAACTCCAGACCTAACTGATCCTCGTTCAGGTGAAACACGGGTACCTTCATAAAATATTTTACTGAATCAATTCCTTAACCAATTCTCAAATAAATAATCAAAATACTAAAATACTAAGCCTTTTTGGGTTCACATGCTTGATTCGGGGATTTTGGGTCAGAATTTGACAAAACAGACTTCGGAATCAGATTCAGGACGTCGAAAAACATAAAGTATGACCTTTCAAAATTCCGAATTCTTGGTCAAAATCAAAGTCAATGGGTTTGACTGACGATTCAGAGACTTTCAGGTTTGAATTTTGTGAAACCGACCCTAAAAACGGATTCGGGACATCGAAAAATATCAGGATAGGTATTCTCGGAAAAGATTAACGGTTGTTTAATGGCCGATCAAAGCCGGTCAAAGTTCTGTGGAGGTCAACAAATTGTCAACCATTTTATAGAAATAGCACCCTTTTTAAAATAATTACCAAAATAGCACCCTTTTCGAATTAATTCCCAAAATAATACTTTTTTTTAATTAAATTCCCAAAATAACACATTTTCGAATTAAATTCCCAAAATAACACCTATTTCAAATTAATTCCCAAAATGTCACCCGGTCAACGGTCAACGGGTCGGGTAGGAACCAGTCAAACTGGTCAAACCCTTTGAAAAACCGGTTAAACCGGTTATTTTAGCCTTCCTCAGGGTGCAGTGGCGGCGCTTGAGGGCGCGTGAGGACTCTTCTGGCTGCGTAAAATTCACGGAGAAATTTCTAAAAATTATTTTGAGCGATTTCGAGATACTTACAAAGATCGGTTCAAATTTTTGAACGGCGGAGAGCTCGATTTCATCAAATCGGAAACTTTGACCGCTTCACCACCACACGCGCCGCCGTCGCCGGAGAAAAAAGAGGACACCGGTGGACTCGGAACGACACAAGGAACACAATGGTGCTGGAGGTGTCGTAAACGGAGCAACGATCGGCGATGAATTTAAGATTTTCTCGGTGATTGAGCTAAAAAAACGTCAAGGCTTTGACTGGAAATTCCCGGTGTTTGGCAGCGTTTCGCTTCAATTAATTTAAGGGAATTGTTCCTCACTCGATAACGAACACGATGGTGGCTTCAAAACGACGATCGGAATTCGGACGGCGTCGGGATCATGGTTGGAAAATAGGCTCTGGGAAGGGAATTTGGGATGATTTGGTTTCTGATTTTCAGAAACCAATTCACGCATATAATACCACATACCTAATATTTTAGGGTCAATTCAGGGTTCGGTCCCTGAATTTTCTTTAACTCTAAAACAAGCTACGAATTTTTAAAATATTTCAATTTAATCATCAAATTTCACCAAAATACTTAATTAAAACCTCAAATTACAAATATTTTTTTTTCCAAATTTCCGGGTTGTTACACTCCTCTTTTTATTGATGTATATATATCTAGGAAATTATTTGGTAGATGCAGGGTTGAAATTTGGCTTTCACTTCAGTCTTTGTAATTGTCACGATAAATGAAGGCTATGATAAAGGTCGAGTAAAATTTGATTTAAGAAATCGATAAATTATTAGTTTTGATAACATAAAGATTAATTTATTCTTAAGTGTAAGCTATTGGTTTTTTTTTAAAAAATTTGGACAAGTGTAAGCTAGTTTAATAAAAAAAGGATTAAATATAAAATAAGTGTTAAACTATATATTTTTCACGAATAGAAGTCTAAACTATTTTTTGCATAATTCATGTAACGTTATAAAATGTTATCATTTTAAGTTCTCGGGTAATTAACGACGTTAATTTCCTCTGATAAGTGACAAAGATCATAATATGATAATTTTAAAATTTATTTTTTTGAAAAATATTGCTATATTTATTAAAAAAACTATAATTTCTCTGAAATTATAAAAAAACTCCAAAATCCTTAAAATCCTCAAATCCTAACCCTAACCTACCTTTGCCGCTCTTTTTGGCCACGAGTATCGCCGCTAACGTAATCCCTGCCATCCTCATAGTCATACGACGACGTAGTTGTCGTTGATTGGCCGTAGCAATTGTGTGGGCTTGCAATTTTCATCTTAGTGTTTATCGGATATAAAACGTCGATTCACCGTCGATTGATCATGATTTCATAGGGATTTTGGTGCCAGGGGAGGTGAGGTCGGGTGGAGCTTCGTTGACAATAAAGGGCGATAGTCGACGTGAGTTTAGGGTTTGAAATGAAGGTTTTTAGAGTTTTAGGGTTATTTTAAAATTTATATTTTTAATACCAAATTGTGACACGTGTGAATTAAGAAAGGAAATTAACGAGGTTGACGACTCAAGCACCTAAAGTGATAACGTTTGTAGAGTTAAATATCGAGATCATTCAAAAAATAGTTTAGGTACCTACAAGCCCCGTCCCTAAGCATGTACAAAAAAGGGCACTCGCCCAGGGCCCCACTTGCTTAGGGACTAAAACTATAAATTTTTATATATAATTAAAAAGGATAAATTATTCATTTAGTCACTCACTTATTATTTTATTTCCGTTTTGGTCATCTAATTATTATTTTTCTTTAAAATCATACTTAACATTACATTTTGTTTTTTTTCTACTCATCATTAAAAAATCAACAGTGATACTAAAGTGACATTTTTAAATTATTTTTTTCACTTTTCACTTAAATATTCTTTAAAATTTTTTTGTAATACTTGTTATTAAGGGTCTAATTTCTACATTGGCCTTAGGCCACTAAAATCTCATAAACGGGCCTAAGTACTTATTCATGAAAATCGCTATAATTCGATTATCAATATTAACAACTGTTGAGTGAAGTAGTATTGATAGTAGTGTGTTCATTATTGGATATTCGAAATGTTGGGTGCTTAATTTATCGGGCATCAAAATAGTTAATATGTGCCTTGGTCCTGAAATTTGAGTACTTGTAAAATTTTAGTACATATTAATTCGGGTAATAATATATCTGATATTAATTTTGATATTTATAAAACTAAAAAATTGAATAAAACTTAAAAATCTAAAAGCCTAAATTATATAATTTAAATATGAAATTTTAGAGATTTAAGTGAAATAATTGAACATCTTTGCAAAAAGGATGGAAATAACCTAAATAATAATACGACGCCGTTTTTCAGCGCATCCGATAGTGTTCTTTAATGCATCTTGGCCCTCCGTTAAAAGTGAAGAAATCTCCAAATACCTAAAGTTAATTTCTTTCTGGGATTTTGCAATTACCTGATTGCACCCGCAGCTAAAGGTAAACACGCTCACTCTCTTTTTCTTCAAACTAATTATTCGCTCTTATTTGTTTCTTAAATTTTAAAAGAGAAAAAAATCTTTTAAAAATATTATTTTCAAAATTTTGGTGATTGCTAAATCGCCCCGCCATCACTGTTATTCGTTGTTCAAACCAAGATTAGCCCAAATCGCCATTTGAATTTTACTTTCCCTTGTCAAATCTAGCGTTTCTTGCGTTTTCTTTCCACCATGTTGTTCTTTTATGAGAAAACAGCAAAGAAAAGAACTTTCTAGGGTTTTTGGTGAATTGGGTTTCTGGGTATTTTAAACTGGGGAATTTTACGAGGGAAAAAGATATAATATTTTTAGTGAAAAAAGAAGTAATATTTGGATTAGTGGGATTGCTATTGACTTGATTTCTGTTTTTTTTTTGTATGGTTGGTTGTAGCGTGTAAGGAAAAGGCCAATTTCTGTTTAGACAAATGAAGCGAAAAAGAGGGCATAAGAAAGGAAACAAGGCTAAAGCCAATGCTGCTTTGGTTGCCCCAGATGAGGCTGCTGCCAATGATGTGAGCGTAAATAGTGAAGATAATTCTGTTAACGATGAGTATGAATCTGGGATGGAAGTTGATACTCCTCCATCGTCCAGAACCGATCAGGCATTCAATGTTGCTAACATAAATCCTGATAGCTCTATGGATAAACCTATCGGAAAGTCTATAGGCCGTGTGAAGGTGAAGCTCAAGACATCATCGAAAGTGTTGGAATCCGATGTGCCTTCGCATAGTGATACTGACAAGAGCAGTCCACAAGTAGGGCTCGAGAGACAAGGTGTGGTTTATGAGAAAATGGAAGACAGTGCTAATTCGTCAGCCGAGATTAAAATGGGTGTTTCTAGTGGTGTGTCGTGGAAAGCTGGAAGTATCAAGATTAAGTCGTCTAGGATGTTGGCTGGTTCAAATGCTGATAAGAGTGGCAATGCCATAGCCGCAGAACGTGAGAGTTCTTACCAGAAAGAAGCAAAGATGCCTCGCCTGGGTTATCGGTATAATAAGCTAGAATTAGATTCTGCTCTAACGGTATGCCGGAGGTTTTACTTTGTTTCCATTACTTTGTTTTTTCTCTATTTTCTTACCATTGTTTCTGTTTGTTGTTTTATCATCTTAGGTGATTAAGAAAGTGATGAAAATGGAAGCAGCTGCTCCCTTCAATGAGCCCGTCAACCCTGATGCTCTAGGGATACCTGTAAGTGTGAATAACAAGCTATACTTATATCCAATGGTTATTTAAGTTTCCAGCTTTTGCAGCCTTTTTTTATGTAAAAGTCAAGAGGTTTTTTTTCGATGATAGGTAGATAGTAATTTCTTCATATCTGGATGATCTATGCACTTCTATTATTATGGCTATTGATATCGTTATCCTAAGGGATTTAAATAACATCTTAAAAGAAATTTCATTGGTAGGGAAGCCAATGGCATTTTTATTTATTGTTACAGGTCTCGATATACATGCTTAATTACTTGATACATTTATGTCTTGCCTTATGACGTAGGGCTTTCTTATTCCCATTTTGTTAAGTCTAACAAGATATGTTTTACGTTTTTAATTCTTTTCTGTATCAAAACTTAGGACTATTTTGATATCATAGACACACCAATGGATTTTGGAACAATATGCAACAATCTTGAAAATGGTGACAAGTATATGGATTCAGAGGACGTGTTTAAGGATGTACAATACATTTGGGATAATTGTTGCAAGTACAACAACAAAGGTGATGCTATCTTGGACCTAATGAGACGGGTGAAGAAGAACTTCATGAAGTATTGGACAGCTGCAGGATTATACACCGAACAGTCAAAAGGAGCAAACGGTGAGGACTGATGTTGACTTGTGTACCTAGCAGTCGATGCATTTTGTTTTTCTTTATACTGAATTTGATTTTTAGTTCTCCGGGAAGGTTTTCTTAAATTTCAAATTTTCATTATTGCATCTATGATGCTATTGACCTTTCTGATTCTTGTCTTGGTAAAGACAAAACATCATAATATTGGTTATTTTTTCTCATGAACGTTGTTTACTTATGTGGAGTTGAGGATTTTTGGTATCACATTCGTGGCTTTACTAGAAGTCTTTATTTCCTTTGTATCAGGTGCTGATGGTGGTGATGTTGAGGATGGTGCATTTTCCAGCCAGGGCAAAATGCATATAAAAGGCAGTCACTCAAAAATGAAAAAGAAACATGGGTATGTTGTTGGTGGGGTTTCTCTCTTCCTCTCTTCTGTGCAATGGACTGTTTCATCTGCATTACCCCCAATTTATATATCTTTATTTGTTTTTCATCCTTCATTTTGCAGGAGGCGCCATAAAAGCGATTGTTTATGTGCTATTTGCATCTTGAAGCGGCGCAAGAGAGAGCGCGAGGCAAATGCTCGAATGGCTAATAAAGGTCAGAGTGGAGTCCAGGATTTCCAGCAAGAGGTATGCTGCTGCTAATTTATTGGACTAATGTTTACGTTTAAGGCTAAATCATTTGGTAAAAGAATTATGTTTCGTATTCTAAACAGAAGATTGGCTTCTGTTATCCATTTCTTGAATGTAGGAATCTTCACCTGTTGGTAGTCTTTACGGTGAGGACTCATCACCAAATATGGATGAATCAGTGGACCCATATGCAGATACCGAGGTGGAAGGTGAAGGAGAAAAGGTGAAAAGAGAGGTGTCTGAGCATCAATATAGCCATATGGAGGGGAGGCATGAGGAGGAGGAAGATGATGCGGAAGAAGAGGAAGAGGAGGATGAGGAAGAAAATGAGATGAAGCCAATGAACAAAGATGGTCATCAAACGAAAGAGCAATCACAGTTCAGAGGTAGCTTGTCAGAGGAGCCCAGTAGAAAATCTCTGCCTGAAGCAATGGATAAGTCCGGTGCGGTAGCCCTAAACCAGAGAGGATCTACTCCATCACAAAATGAGGAAAAAAGTAAAGCAGTTCAGCAACAGAGACGCAAGGTATTTTTCTTCTCCGCTCTCCTTTTTTTTCCTTCCCCACCCCATCTTGTTTCCGATTTCCAAAATATAGTCATCAATGATGCGTCAAGAGTGTACTACAAATTACAAAATATACCATTTCCATTCCTGCTCGAAGAGTGTATTGCAAACTTTCTTTTTTGGGACAAGGCTTAAGCACCTTGTTAAGTCCTCTGCACAATGATGCTTCAATAGTTCAAGGTTTCTATTTTGCGCACACACATTTTTGCATGTCTATAACATTCTACTATGCATTTAGTTTGTGCACCGAGTTAATGGTGTTCATGGAATTACAGGACTCTCAAGAAAGGCAACAGAGATCTAAAATGTTGGAGAGCTTCCGCTTCGAGAATCCTATGCTCCTTAACCTATGTGGAATTCTCTTTCCTGACAATAAGAAGTCTGTTTGGAGTGGCCCTCATTCGTTGGCTCAGAATCGGGGTTCTCGAACTAGTGCAATTCATGCAGCTATTGAGACTTTCATGAAGTAGATTATGATATTTCTCGTCCTTCCTTTGTCAAGTTGTATTTGACATAACTTTGTAAACTGACATGGTAAACTAGGTGATCTGCATATTACCACTGTAAATTATTAGATGGAAAACACAAGAATGCTCAGACACTAGACATAATCTACATTTATGGTTTACAATTTACTCCTCCAATCTAAGTTTCCTTTAGTTCCGCCATTTTTTATCATATAACTATAGTTTTTCATCCTAGATAAAGGGTTCAATCATTGTTTTCATCATTTGCTGTGTGACGAGTCATAACAGCGTAGGATCATTTTGAGAATGGCATTGCTTCGTAGCAGCGTTGGATCATTTTCATCATTTGCCGTGTGAAGAGTCATAACCAGTTCTTTCACTTGAATGATTTCCAAGTTTTCCGAGTTCTGTGAGATGCTGTTTTCAAATGTGTTGCATGCTTGCTGTTATCTATGTGATTTGTCTAACAAAATGGGAGAGACGCAGGCAATCATCGAAATTTAGAGCGGATAACAATTTTATCATAATTAGTCTGTTGTCTGTGGTGTTGTTCCATTAATGTTTTGGAGTTTTGCTTTGCTAATAAGAGAGAGGGAGAGGGAGAGGGAGAGAGGGAGGGGGAGAGAGAGAGTAGGCATACACAAAATAGAATCCAAATCCATATAGAAAATCACAAGGTACAAGAAATAGCAATATAAGATGATGAAAATAAATGTCAACATAAAACAATAGGAAGTGTAGTGAAATATACGAGTGAAACTCAACATAAAACAATAGGAAGTATATATACGAGTGAAACCGTGTCTACCATCTCCATACTAAAGAAAGTTGAACCACTGACAGCATCTCACGGACTGGTAGTTGATGATGGTGGTGGAGAGAGGAAAGGAATAGACGGAATAGTTGTCGGAATCGTGGGGATCGAAGGGAAGCTCGGCAGTGGTGGCAGGGTAACCTTTGGGACACTAGGCAAGTTGGGAATGCTAGGAAGTGGCGGTAGCGAGCCAGGCTTCGGCAGGGCCGGTAAAGTCGGTATCGCCGGCTGCGGCATTGGTGGCAGCCCTGTTTTCGGCAAAGTTGGTATAGTAGGTATGGGCGGTAACTGCTGAAGACGACGAGCTGCTAGACCGACATCAATGATGGAAAACATCAGTGCTGCAAACAAGGCTAAGATGAAACAATTGCAAGACGCCATTTTCTAGTGATTCCAACGGATGAAACAATGAGTGATTGGAAGTTGAAGAAAGCCGATGCTGGTATGGAGTTTTTATAACCAAAATCCATAGTGTAGCTTGTCTGGTTAGATAACTGAGTAGATCAAATTTGGGTTTGGTAGTTCACCACCTTCATCTATCTTCGACTCTGCAAATGTCAAATACAGTTGTGGTTAGCTGGACGTTTAATTCATTATATTGCCAAGAATTACAAGTCCTTTTGGTTCTACATTATTTGGTTGGTCGTCTAACATTGCTTTTATATCTAGTTCACGTATATTGTTCTATTTGGTATTGTGTAAAATGTAAGTCATAAGTTACCTTATATAAAAATGAAAGGGTAAATTATATTAATGGTCACTCAACTTTTAAAACGTTTGTATTTTGATTATCAAATTTGAAATTATCTTATTACGGTGGTTAAAGAAAGAAGTATTATTTCAATCAATAGACATCAAACTTTTAACAGAAACCGACAACATGATACTTGAGTTAGCATGCACATCATTTTCTCTAATAAAATAATGTATCTACTAACTTATTAACAAAATAATACTGTTTCCGTCTTATAATCCGTGTCTTATATTAGCTGTGTATATTGTTTTAAGAGATATATTTAACCAAGATGAATGACAAAATTGATTGATAGATTTGTTTGATAGATATAAAGAAATGAGACATAAAGGTAAGAAAAAAGTATAAGTGTTGTTTGTTGATTTTTTCTAATAAGATATTTTGAAGTAAAAAAAGAAGATATATTCTAAGGTTTTTGCTCATGCTCCACTCTTGTAGTTGTTTATCTTCTTGATCTTGGTAGCGGTGATCTTGGGTTTTAGGTATTTTAGAAGGCCTGGTTTCGGTGCTTGTGCTCGGGACTTCCCATCATTTCATTTACTAAAATTCCCCCCCACCCCCACCCCCATCCCCGGCCAGTTTCAGCCTCCAAACAGCACTATAAAACAAAACTAAGTGTGGCATTTAAATATAGATAATACAAGACCCCATTGTTAAGGTTACAATCCTTTGATATTATTCCTAATCCTATATATTTCTGGCTCACCAAATCTTCCTAACCCATAAACTCAAATATCCCATTCACTTATTCAATTATGTTCTTCTTTTCAAAACTTTTTTGGAATGACCGACGAAGACGAAGGATGATAGTCCGGCGACTGTCGAGAAAACTCCGATAGCATCTGAACGACCTCTCTCATGGTGGGGCGTTCGATGCTATTTTCTTGTACGCATAGCATTGCGATGAACAATAAGTGCATCGCTTCGGCTTTGGGCACGGATGTTAGCCTTGGATCCACAATGCTGCTAACTTCTTCTTGTCGACAATTCGTCACTCGTTTAGCCCAATGTACTATATCTACACCTTCTCCGAACTCGCCCACCGGTCGTCGGCCGGTTATCATCTCTAAAAGAACCACTCCGAAGCTATACACGTCGCTTTTTTCGTCTACCCTCAATGTGTATGCATATTCTGAGATTAAGAAACATCAACATTAATGCCAAGAAATAGTACTATCATGGCACACAATTTGACGGAGAAGAAGTCTAGTACATACCAGGAGCAATGTAGCCATAGGACCCTGCAATAGCCGACATGCACTCCGATGCACCCCCGTCGACCAAGAATTTCGCCAATCCAAAATCGGCAACGTGTGCTTCGAAGCTTGAATCGAGCAAGATGTTGTTCGATTTCACGTCTCGATGAATGATCAACGGCGAACAATCATGGTGAAGATAGCATAGTCCTTTAGCTGCTTCCACTGCAATTTTGTACCTCAAGTTCCATCCTAGGAATGCACCCTTTTTCTTCCCGTGTAACGCTTCTCCGAGGCTCCCGTTTCTCATGTACTCGTAGACCAAGAGATTACTTTCCTTGTTGGAGCAAAACGCTAGCAGCCTGACAATGTTCCGGTGCCTGATGTTTCCTAGCGTCTGGATTTCGGCTTGGAAACCGTGATCGTGTCTACTTGTGCCGAAGCCAAGAAGCTTTTTCACTGCAATTTCCATATCGTTCGGCATTTTCCCATGGTAAACAATGCCTGCACCTCCTCTTCCGATTACATTGCCTTCTTTCACACATTCGAGGATGTCGGAAACAGTGAATTCGATGTTTTGGAACGCAGTCATCTTCCAAGAATCCGAACCGTTTTTCTTGAACGACTTGGCCTTGATAATAGCGGCACTGGCGAATATTAGAGAGCATATTAAAAGGCCTATTGCAAATATTAGCTTGAAGTTCCCAGGGGCCTTCCTAGGGGTTCTTGAGATTGCTGTCAAATTGCAAGGGTTGTTGAGCAGAGAACCACAAAGTTGAGGATTGCCCGCAAATGACGAAGCATTAAAGACGGTGAACTGGCCAGATTCGGGCAGCTTCCCGGAGAAATGGTTGAATGAGAAGTCGGCAACCGTGAGGCTTTTCATCGATCCAATGCTTTTAGGAATGACCTCATTTAAGTGGTTCCTAGATACATTCAAGTAACTCAGGATATGCAAATTGGAAATCTCCATCGGAATTGAGCCAGAGAGGTTATTCTGGCTCATATCAAGGTATGTAAGATGAAAACAGTTCCCAATTGCTGGTGGAATGATACCAGAAAGCGAATTTCTACTAAGATCGAGCTTCAAAACTTGCCTGAGTTCACTTATAGAGGGTGGTATCGGACCTGAGAATCGGTTTCCGCTAAGTAAAAGGATTTCGAGAGAAGACATGTTTGAAAGTGAATACGGCAATGGACCTGAGAGGAGATTGTTTGACAAATTAAGCTGGCCTAACTTAACCGGTCTCGACGACATGTTACCGTTTTCGGCCAACGTTCCCGAAAGGTAATTGTTCTGCAATTCAGCTAAGTTCAGCTCAGGCAAGTAAATGAAACCATTAGGAATGGTACCATTCAAGTTATTCTGCCCCAACCTGACTCTAGTGAGACTATAACATCTCCCCAGTTCTTCCGGAACAGATCCGAAAAGGAAGTTTTTCATCAAAACTAATATCCTTAACCGATTGGAATCACACAGGCCTCGAGGAATCGTACCGGTCAGCTTGTTGGACGATAAATCAAGCAACTGCAGCTTCCCATTTCGACCGAGATTCTCGGGTATAACACCAGTGAAGTTGTTCATCCATAGCCCCAACGTCTCCAAATTAGGCAAGTCAGCTACAAAGTCCGGAACGGAGCCATGCAGTCTGTTCATGAAGAGATTGAACAGCCTGAGCTGTTTGAGATCGACGAACCGAGACGGGATTTCTCCGGTGAGCGCATTGTGGGAGAGATCGAGGTTCACCAAGTTAGTCAAGTTGCCTAACTGCTTCGGAATTGGACCCGAGAGTCGATTGACATGGAGGTACAGAGTATCAAGTAACTTCAAGTTCCCGAGCTCATGAGGAATTGGGCCATCCAATTCACAGCTAGAGAGATCCATGTGAACCAAATTTATCAATTTACCAAACTCAAAAGGGATACCACCATCGAAAACATTGTAATACCCCAAGTAAATCTCTCTCAGGTTCACCAGATTGCCTAACGCATCGGGGATTTTGCCATGAAGATCATTTCCCGCGAGTGAAAGATACTCCAACCCGACCAATGTGCCATAACTCGGTGGGATTGTGCCATAGAAATAGTTGCCACCGAGGTCCAAGTACCTGAGTTTCTTCAATCCAACGACACCAACCGGCAGCAGAGCAGTGAAATTGTTGTTATAAGCATCCAACACCTCCAGGTTGCCTATACTTGCATAGTTCCAATCAAGGTGACCGTCGAACTGATTGTTCGAAACGTTGAGATATCGAAGCTCACTCATATTTGATATATCGATGCTTCCGGTGAAGTTGTTGCCGGCGAGAGAAAGGTTTGTTAGCCTATCGAGTATCGAAATTCGGGGTGAAACCGAGCCGCATACGTTCATACTGGTCAAGTCCAACGACACAACTCGGCCACCGGAGCATCCGATTCCGGTCCATGAACATAAAGAACTAGGATCCGATGAATTCCATGAGCTCAACATCGGTTCAGGGGACTCAAACCCGTGTTTAAGTGCCACCAAGACGTGAAAATCAGAAACCAATGAAGCAGAACATGCCGTGGTTACAAGTGAGAATAATGCCAAGACAATGAGAGGGACCATGTTTGGCTCGTGGGAAAAAATATGTTTTTTCTTCTTTCTCAAGAGAGTTGAGTTTGGAAGGACTTGAAGCAAAGACAAAGGGATTTAAGCGTTAGAACAACAAAAGATTTTCTAGGAAAGTAGGGAAGAAAAGTGAAAGGAATCTGAAAAACTTCAAGTGTGTGTAGGCTTAAAGAATCAAACATCTTGATAGAAAGAATCTTGATAAACAAGATAGATGCTAAGCCTCACCTTTTTCTTCTTTTCTTTTCCTTTCCCTTTCTTTTGCTCTCAAAGACAAAGAAGAGATTGAATTTCTGCTAGTCATGGCAGGTTTTACCTGTTCATTCCTCTCTCTCTCTCTCTCTCTCTCTCTCCCAAGCTTCTTTAAGCAAAGAAAAGTGGAACCAAAAGGAAAGAAAATGGATTGGTTTAAAGGGTTTTACAGTCCGAGTCTCTGGGTCGGTTCAGCTGGTTAAAACGAGTTAATACTTTAATAAGTTGAGATTATAGAGGAGGGAAGGAAGAAGAAGAAAAAGGTAAAGTTTGATGGACTCTTTATTTATATGACAAAAAAGAATGGCCTTTAGCTTTAAGCCTTTAATCAAACAATGATCTTTATTGCTTTGAACGAGAGATCAATGGAATTGAAGGTTCAAAGCCTTGAGAATGATTCAAAAACATGGCTTTCACCGCAGAAATTTAAGCATGTTCAGATCAAAATATCCAAATTCTCTCACTGTTTCAACCCAGTTTTGATTCCTTGGATTGGTTCCAAAATCTGGGTTTTCTTATTCTACTTTCAACACTAAACATATGCAGAATTTATCAAGAATCTGTGTATATAATTCCATTGGTGAAGACATATCAGTTTCATCAGAAAATGGAGCTCAACCATATTGATTCTTTAAAAAGTAAAATTCTGTCCCCCTTGGTAAACACCATCATGCTTAAAGATTCATGCACATGGACTTATTGACGCTATGTGCATCATAAATGAAAAAAAAATGGTTAAAGAAAATCAAGAACCGGTGGATAGACTTTCAGTTAAACAGGGAATTTCCATTATCAACAGTGTTGTCCAACAAAGATAAAAGTAACTTGGATGATGCATGCATGGAGGTCCCATTAAAAAATGATTTTATAATAATATTGTGGTGTGAAATAAGATTGGATTTTTGAAGATATATATCAGAGATTCAGAGTGACAAAATCTTATTAGACATAGTATTATATCAAGTCGAGCTCAACTCCACTCGTTTACGGCCATTATTAGACTTACGATATTACAACACGACACAACTCATATCCTGTAAATCGAATTGAACTTGATCCCAACTATATATTTTTTTTAGAGTTTGTCATTCGAATTCTGTTTTGATCCGACTGAAAAAGTAATGCATTTGGGTGAGTATTCCCATGCAGAGGGTGGTAATTCTCGTGAGGAATTTATGATGTTTTGAGTTGGGAACATGTGGGTGCGGCATAGTCAGAGATGATGATTATTAATATATGATTACAATGTTTTGTTTGAATGATCAAAATATAATTATGCTGCATCAAAGTAAGCTTTGCTTTTCTTGTGTTTGATCAACTTTATTCCAATCTGGGACCAAACTGTACATATTGATGTGCAAAACTTGAGCCTTTAATGGAAGATGGGATAGTCTTAAAGAGAAGGCTCTAAAGCAAAAGCAAACTCATATATATATATATATATATATAAAAGAAGAAGGTAAAATCAACTTTGATCTTCCATTTTTTAAGCATTACAATTTAGTCACTCAATTAAAATATTCTTATAAACAAGTAATTGACATATAAATATTAGACGAAATAGAGTTCTTGCATGGTATAATAACAACTTTAGTCTTCAATGCTTATAATAAATTTGGTCTTAATTAGAAATAATTCAATAATTTAAAACTTCATATTTAAAAATTCTATCACTATAGTCTTTTATTATTCTCCTAATATGTTATATTATTTTCCTATTACATTCACTGGTATAATAACGATTTAACAATAATTTGTTGTTACCTTATGACAAAATGCATTTATTCAGTTGCTGCTTTGATTTGATGGACTTGTTTAGTCTGGTAGTATTGAAAAAAAAATGATTAAACTGATGAAATTTTTAAATATAAATGATTAATTTTATTAAATTGTTTCAAATTAAGACCATTTGATAACAAATATATAAGTTTTAGGGACTAAACAATTGTTATATCAAACTACATTAGACATGTATTTGATTTTTAACAACGTGTGACTTGTTTGTAATGATTTTTAATTAAATAATTAAATTGAAACTTTTGAATAATAACCCATCTGTTATCAAATATAGAATTGAGTGACCTAGAGTGTAATTTACCCGAAGAAAAATCTAGGACCGCTCTATATTCGACATGGAAAAGAGTGCTCTTGTATTAACTTGAACTCATCGAATACATCATTCGTTATTTAAAGAAAAATAATGACTAACCATTACATGGGAAAGAGTGCTCCTCTTTTGTAATAGCTCGATCTTTCACTGTTCATTTTCCTATCTCTGTCATGTGGGCAACGCCATAAAAAAACAGTGGTTCCCCCATCTGACTTATTGATAGGAAGGTTGTGGACCCTTTGAAGGGTCACTGTCCCTATGGTTAATCCTATTAAATTCAATAAAAATATTATATTTTTCATTCATAAGATTTAAATTTAACACCGGGGAGTGTGAGGGTTGTGCGGTCATATCCAAGAGTAGCTTCGAGTATTGATCAGGTAAAGTAGCGACCTCTCTTTTAAGGTTACGTGATGATCAATTTAGATGGTGCTTTTGAGTCTACTAGGCGTATAGCGGTTGTTAGAGTTATTACCCGAGATGTCGTCGGCCAAGTACTTGGTGGCATGGTTGCATCGTCATCAGATTATGTCGAATTTGGACTTTCAGATATTCATGCTCTGAATGCAACATTTTTTTTGTAAGTGAGTATCGGTGGATGCATTAATATTTGAATCGGATTCGACGTTTGTAGTCAACAAGAAGTCTCGATCGGAGGAAGATTTGTTCACATTGGGTTATCATCATCGGGAAGGTCGTAGGATTTTGAATGTTAATTTAAATTACAAAACGTATTTTGTTCCTAGAGCTTATAATATTGTGGCACATACTTCGACTAAGTGAACTTTCCGTTTGTTGTATTCAATATTTTTATTCTGGTAATACAAGGTCCTAAAACACTATTTTCTCGTTATCGATAACCCTAAGATGTTTTAACGCATAAAAGCACCCAAATGATGTTAATTAGTTGACCAAACCCAGGGCATGGGACCATGTGTGATATCTTATGGTTCCAAATCATGTACAATTTCCATAGATGAAGTCGTCGTACCAATAACCGACGCAATTTGACTCTTGCTTATCAATGATTGTGCTGTAATTTTCGTTTGCCTCGGGCAACAACAAATCTGTGCAGCTTTGAGAAAAGAGAAGTCCCATTCCGAAAACTACAGTGGAAAATAAGTATTTATTGTCACCACATGAGCTGGGGCTGGTGTTTTTCTCTACGGATACTCGGGGTTCCTCGTGTACCAGTCCTTGTCTCAGGACCATAATGGCCAAAAGAATTCCGAAATATATAAGCAATAAATAGAAACTCTCTCTTATTCGTCGATATAAGCAATAAATAGACTACCTTTAATCGTCAAAATAAGATATCTTAACATGTTCGACAAAACTACCTTTAAATAGGGTGTCTCACCGTAATATTAACCAAATCAGAAGGAGTGAATCATTGTTCTAAGACACTCACAGAAGAGTTATAACTATTATGCTAATTACTGAACAACATATAAATAGTAAATTTCAAGTGAAATAACGTATAAATAGAAAAAGAAAGAAGTAAAATAGTGAGGGAAAGATCACATAAGTAAGTATATTCCTTTCTCTGTTTTATCGACGAATCTTTCAGACTGTAAATGAGATGATATAGATCGCGAGTTATTCGAGATTGACTTGATCAAAACTCGATAAATACTCGAGTCAAGCTCTTAACGAGCCGAAACGAGCTACTTGATACTTGATTCGAAAAGCTCGTGAACATATCGAAAATATAATATATTAAGATTTTATTTTATTTTTAAAAAATTATTAATAACATTAACATTTATGTGTGGTTTTTAATAAAAAAATATAATATAAAATTTTTATATATTTAAGGTTCAGTTTCAAGCAGTGGCAGATACACAAATGTAAGGATGAGGTCCAAAATTTTAATTTTCTTTTCATAAAAATAATGGGCATGCAAAAAAATTGTTTTTTCTCTCAACACGTTCAGCTAAATTTAACAACTTTTCTAAAATAATGGGATGCATTTGACCTATGGGGGTTTAGTGCATCCGTCATTGGGTTCGGGTTTGAAATTTCAATCGAGTTGAGTTTAAGTTTTTTCCCATTTCTAGCTTTTACGAGCTTCAGTTCATAATTTAAAGTTCAAGTCGAACTTAAAAATTTTAAGCTCACGAGTTTTCGAGTCGAGTCAAGCTCCATTTCAAAGTTTTCGAGTTGAGCTCAATAATACTCGAGTCCAACTTGGATCGTTTACCGCCCTGGTCTCTTCGATCAGATTATTCGTCGGCGGTAGTATAGTTGACAATGTAATGTCTTTGCTAATTTTCAGACTAATGACATTCGTTGGCAAAGAATAAAGTCCAATCGTTTAGTTCACGAAGATTACTCAGAACCTTCCGCTTAGTTATTTTTATCACAAGTATGAACTAATCATCGAATCAGTTAATCCGATTGTAATCGAGTTTTGTTCGTCCCTATCATCGTCTAGATTTTCAGACACAAAACCATGATAGTACAGCATGATGACAAACCGGTGGAGGAGGAAGAAGAAAATGCACGTCCATGTCACCTGGTCCCTTGGCCGTGCACAAAAAATGGAACTGTCCTTTGAAAAAAAAAAAAGATGACAACTTGAAGAACACAACTTTCCTGCTTTGGGTACTGGTTTTTGATTCATTATTAGTCCTTGCTGAGTTCGGACGAACTAATGATTGAGTTACATTGCAATGTGACATGGAAGTGTTGGTGTTTGGTGGCCATGAAAGTGAAAGCCATAATTATCAGTAAAAGTTTTGTTAGTCTAGCTTTTGTTCCTTTTCTTTTTTGGTAGAATTATGAGGGCCCTTTTTTCAGTTTAATTTTTCTCGTTCATAATATTAGATGATTTTATTGAGTTCATTGACTATTACAAGTTATAAAATGATCCATCGACTATAGGGAGTTGCTTTGTTGAGTCCCTTGACTTCATTATGTTCCAAACTCGTCATTTTCGTTAAAATTTTAATGGTCATCTAAGTTGGACATTAACATGTTGACTGAGATACGATAGTCATTTGAGATTATGAGATCAAATTTTATCACATCTCAGTCAACAAGTTAACATACAACTCAGATTTCCATCAAAATTGTAACGGAAAATGACGAGTTTGGAACATAATTAATAGTTGGGTGACAATTTTGT